GAGGCTGTAAATCTACAGGAGCAGAATACCTCATCTTTCTCCTGCCGAATAGCTGGTAGTTTCAAACTGTTGACCTTGAGGTTCGCAGCCTGATTCCTAACCACTACGCTACCAGAGCTGCGTTTGAGTATATGAGATATACTGAGGCAGGATTTCTAATAGGATGGTAATAGTTCCAATAATTTAATACTTAATAATCACTCTTTTTAAATTTCCATTCTACAAACATGATTGTTTTACTCCCTCACTTCAGAATTGGGTAGAGATCAGCATTTCACTGAATAAATGAATAATTGATTTATTTCTTTTACATATCTTTTTCATGTCTATTTAGTCTAACATCTCAACTAATCACATATTTAGTATGTAATCCTTTATGTACTATAAGAGCTGCCTTTTTATTACTGTCTGTAATGTACGCTGGATCCTACATGGCAGTCTCAAAGATGTATACAGTATGAGAGTGTTGTTGTTACATGCCATCGAGTCGATTCCTCCTCATAGTGACCCTGTATAAGGTTTCTGAGGAGCAGCTGGTGTGTTTGGATCGCCGACCTTGTGGTTCACAGTCTCGTTGCTTATCCTACAGCACCACACCAGGACCCCAGTGTAGGTCAGCATGCCCATTTTACAGATATACCATCTTTCGATTATACTGCTTCAACTGATAGATCATACTTTCCCTTTTACATTTTCAATCATTTGTTTACTGAGGTAAGGGGAGAGAGAAGAGAAAATTTAGAGAAGTTCTGAAACTGAACACCCTTTCTTTTTTAAATGGACATATGTCTGTTTTTGCATTCTATTTTAATATTTCTCACCTAGACTTTGTCTTTTATTTATTTATTTAAGTTGTACTTTAAGTGAAAGTTTACAAAGCAAATTAGTTTCCCATTTAGCAGTTTGTACCTAAAGGGTTTGGTGACATCACTTACATTCCCCTCAGGGTGTCAGCACTCTGCACATCTACAGCTCATCTTCTTGTTCCCATCCAGGTTTCTACCTCTTCCAGCTTACTCGTCTTTGCTTTTTGGTAAATGTGGCCTTTTCGGTCTCGTAAAAAAATGATTGATTGGTCTAAGGACATGTTCTTCTCTGGTATTATTGTTTATTGCTGGTCCTGGTGTGGTGCCATGGGATCAGCACTGGAATGCTAACCCCAAGGTTGGTGGTTCAGTCCCACCAGCCACTCCCTGTAAACACTACTATGAGTCAGAGCCTTCTCGGTGGTACTTGGCAACGAGGGCAACATTGTTGGTCTAAAATGGGGTCTCTGGAATGGCTTCAGTTCTAGGTCAGAAGGGGGTTCCTCTAGTCTCGGTTAAACCATTAAGTCCTCTCTTTTTTTAAGCTACATTTTCCCCCCTCCTCTCTCCAGACCCTCTGTTGTGATCCCAGTCAGTGTTTGTTGGTGGAAGTCATGGGGCACCATTCTAGATCTTCCTTGTCTCAGGGTCACCTAGGCTTTTTCAAGCCTATGTTGTAATAACCTGCACTGGAAGGTAACTAGAGCTTATAGATGGAAGTGACAGAAAAGTTGAAATGTGCTGTTCATTTGAAAGACCATCCTATGCCAGAATCATCGCAATCTTTATAAAATAGAAATTCAGATAGTATATGATAAAATATATAAATCTATGGTTGAATGAAGTATAGTGGCTCAGTAGGCTAAGCACTGGACCATGAACCACAAGGTAGGTAGGTAGATCGAGCCCACCAGCTGCTCTGTGGGAGAAAGATGAGGCTTTCTGTTCCCACAAAGGTTTACAGCCTTTACTAAACAGGGTCACTATGAATTGGAACTTACTCACAGCATTTAACAATCATTGAATAAAATACCATTCAGTATAAGATCACAAAGACAACTTTTTCATTTTATTTCTCTCTCTCTCTTTTTTAATGTAATTTCATTAGTAGGGTGAATGAATAAAGTTTCTGTTCTGTGTTACTTTCATTGTATTTCTCTTAGGTAGTAAAATTACTCTCTGCTTTTTATTCTTAATTGCTGTGTTATTCATTTCAGAGTGGATGCTTCGGTTTCTGTAGACTTGAGATTTTCCAAAAACTTTTCAGTAAGAGAAAAATAATACTACTTTCTAAAGCTGTCAGAAGTTCTTATAGTTTAGAAAGTTTTAGTAGTTGACTATGTGTGGAACAATATAAAAAAAAACAGTATATGAAGTCAGTTTACTTTTATAGTATGTATAGTTTACAATTTACAAGTGTAAAAACCGTTGAAACTGTAGAGGGCAGCATGTAGTCGCATGAACTTTCTTATGGAACATTTCTTATTAAACATTTATGAAATAAATTGTTTCAACAGTGAATTAATGAAATAATGTTTTAAGTAATTACTAAATTACTAGATTAGTTTATGTAAAAAGAAAAAAGTTTTTTAACCATACATTATAGCTTAATTACTGATGGTAAAAGCATTTGGGGCTATGAGAGATTTTATTTTATAATCAAAAATGAACAAACCTTTAAAAGAATAAAATACAATTGGAAAATATATGTCATAATTGTTTAGGATATAAGTACTAACATATCCCACATGTTTCATATAAAATAAGAGTTTTTTGCTTGCATTGCTGAAAGATGGATAGGCACTCAAAGCGTAAATACTTAGTGTTGAACTGCTGGGGACGTACTAGCTTCCTGTGGAATACATGCAATGATCCCTTTTTGTATTTTGTTTGTCAACTCATTTTAATGGCATGGAACTTTGCCTTTTAAGATTCTTTGACTATTTAGTTGAGCATTGAAGTATCTACCTGCAAGCTGTGGGTGTTAATATTTATTGACTTAAGAATTTTAAGGTAAAAAATTGACTTCTGTATAATTTAGGCAATCTCATTTAGTTAACATAACATTAAATTGTGTAATGGTTAAAGAGGAGTGTTTTTAATTCTCCATCGCAAAGCAGTTTTGAGAGTGTGATTTTATATTTTAAGCTGACATGGGGTATGAATGGAAATATGAGCTTGAATTACATGCCTGCATGTTCTTTGCCAAACATACATAAATATTCCTAATCATCCTCATGTGCTTATTTTAAATTTGACTTAGATATAAGATTGATTACAGTAAGGGTTTCGTCATTACTCATTACTTTCTATGGTAACAACATGTAGCACTTAACAGACAGTGCATAGAGATTCTGATTAAAGCAGTAGAACCTCATTCATTATTGCTTGTCCCGTCGCAGAATTTTCTTGATTTTTTGAAAAGAATGGAAAATCCAAATCAGTCTCTATCTGACTACATTTAGGAAGACAAGTACCCAAGTTTAGATGGCTTTCTGTCATTACTTACAAAAATGTAATATTTAAGCTTGGGTATAAATAACCATTTGAATAGCAGCTTTTCTAATAAACATTCTAGTTAAGTTGAAATATTTTTCTTCTCTACATAAAAATCTAACTAGAAGCCATATTTGCTACAAAGAATTCTTTTTCTTAGGTGTTTAATGATTCAAACATTGATTGATGCCCAAGACTTAGTAAATTCAGTATCCTTTCAATGCTGGTTCTGAGTGTCTAGGAACCCTCAGAATTCATCAGCAGGATTATCTTATTTATCCAGATTCTGGAACTAAAGATGATTATGCACGAATCAGAAACTACTTAGCTCTGTTTTGATATCATAATATCAGACTTTTTCTTTTGGTTTGTTTTGGTTTTGTAGTAAATCTGGTTTTTGTGCATTTACTTTATTAACTTAAGAGATCTGATTCCTCATACATATATCAAGAACACATGGTCAGATGTCATGAAAATTAAATAGATGGATCATCTCTTGAGACTCACCAAGCCAGACCATTTCCTACAATAACATAATTTTTATTCACATAACACATCTGTAAGAATTGCTCAAATCTAAAGTACATAAACTATAAAGAGATATGCTATGTTAGAAATTTTATATAACAATTCTGGTTTTAAATTAGAGCTACATGATCTCAGAGATCTCAGCATTAATAATTAACCAAACACATACTTGTCATAAATCTGTCCTAGATACTGTTTCATCAAGGAAAAAAATATATTGATAGCTGAAAAAGGTTAAAATATAGGTCTGTATTTCACTATGTGGAGCTGTAGGATAAGCACTGTACCACAGGATTAGTTGGTTTGAACCACAGGTCGGCGGTTAAAAGTCACGAGCCACTCCTTGAAAACCCTATACAGGTTCACTATGAGTGAAAACCAACTTTATACCACTTAGCAATAATTGTTAACTTAGGTGATGTTTTTAATGATTTTCAGTGATTGGGGAAAGAGAAAATTTCAAAATATTTTTCATTCTTTAAAGATGATGTCAGTCACAGAAAGTGAGGAAAAATGAGAAACTGTTTACTTACTGAATTTTTAAATACTCCATCATTTATTTCAAAGAAAACTATTAAATGAGTGGTGAGTTCTTTACTAGGACCTCCTAGTCCTGTGGTTTCATGGCAGGAACAAAGTGAAATACTTACCAAACATTATTGTCAGGAGAGCAATCGGCATCACAAACAATCCAACCAGCAAATCGGCTACTGCCAGGGACATTAGAAAATAGTTGGTAGCATACTGCAGCTTTTTCTCCAGCGAAATAGCCAGGATAACTAGGATGTTTCCACCGACTGTGGGTATGATCACCATGAGTATCATCAGAGCTGCCCAACGCAGTTGGCTTCCCTGCTCCTCACCAGACTGTTTTGTTCCCTCCAGTATTGTGTGTGTCTGTAATCCAGACCCGTTAGGGGAGATGAAGACTTCCAGTGCGCTCTGCAAAATGTACTCGGGTCTTGTGCTTTGTTCAGACATTCTATAAGAGAGAGCCATTCGCTGTTTTTCTGTGACTTGAGCTGATTCCGAACAATGGCCAGCATGGTCAGTGGCTAAACCGGACATCTGCTTTTTTAAGGCATTGTACCCATGCCAAGCATTCAAAATCCAAGTTGACTCCTTTGTTAAAAAAAAAAAAAAAAAAAAATCAAGTCCTCAAAAATGAGAGACAACATTCATCTATCCGTGTCTGAAGGTAGAAACTCTGATTTTGGAAAGTTTAGTGAAAGAAACAGATGGCTGTGGAAAAGAGGCAATTTGTTAGTTTCCTCTTTGTTTATTTATTTATTTTTGGTGTGGCAATACAGTCATGCCTGAAATGGAATGCCAGAAATTTCCTGCTAGATATAAAATATATGAGTTGTATTATTTTATTATTTTAAATTTTCATTAATCAGTAAAGAAACTTCAATCCCCCTTCCCCTCTTAAAAGGTCTTTGTACATTTGTGACAAATGCAGTCAATTATTCCTAATATGCCTCAGTGAAATAGGGAATCCCATTATATTTGTCAGTGGTTTAGATAAAAATGTAGGAGTTTCCGGACCCTTGAATGCTTTCTTTAATCTTTATTTTAGAAAATGTACATAAAATGTACATTAAAAAGTCAACGCACTAAGTAGTTCCTTTTTTGGCAATAACGAATAGCATTTTCCATACACACTGCCACCCTCCTAGAAACCCTCCAAGGCCACCTAAATCCTAAAATAATCAAGTGGGAATATTTAGTTGGATTTTGTCTGATCAAGTTTATGTTAATGCTGATAACAAACATATCTGTAATTTTAGAATTCCTTTACTTTGCACGAAGGAAAAAAAAAGGTATTATTAAGATCCAAATCAGTGTTAAGTAATTTAATCTTTCAAAGCATGTTTCTGTACCATACGTTTTCTAGATTTGTCACTTTATACCAAATTTTACCCATTTCTCTTTTTTTCTGTTTGTTTGTTTATAATTGTTAGCTTTTCTTAACCCTGCAAGTTCCCTGGGAAGAAAGAGAAGCTAAGAGAAAGATTAGCTTTATTCATAACATTTACAGATCTCATGTTTAGAATATCCCCGTTCTATTCGTAAATTTTTCATTATGCTTTTTAAACTACTGATTAGAAATTAAGTTCTTGTGGGGAAGCAAAACTGTAGGATAACTATATTTATTTGTTAAATACTTACCTCTTGTTAGCTTGTTATTTTCCCTGTGCCTGTCATCCTGTCTCCCTGTAGACGTCCTGCTGCTTTAACCAAGTCTCCTCCCATACACTTATTCTGAGTCTCCAGCACTGGGCTTGAAAGCAAGAAACAAATGTGAAGCATGCCAGGGATGTTATTCATCGTTGATACAGTCCTCTTTAAAGAGTAGTAGCATTCGTTGATCATAAAACCACAAGTTAAATGTGTAGAACCAGTTTGTGACCCTTATTGAAGTTAACAGTTGAAGCACTCTTTTTGGTATACAGAGTACTGTATAAAGCCTGTCATTTTAGCTTCTGATAGGTTTTTTTTTTTTTTTTTTTAATTAACCATGGGCTGTTTTTCCTGTCTAAGAAAAACAAGACATAACTATACTGCCCTACGAATCTTTCTTGTACTTTATAGAGTTCTGATCTCTAGTAGTGAAACAAGTCTTATCCAGCTTTTGCTTTTGCAAGGGAACACAATTAATTTGCTATGTTTACATCCTTATATAGAACGTAGTGGTTACGAATCGGGCTGTGAACGAATCGCAAAGTCAGCAGATCGAAACTACCACCTGTGCCACGGGAGAAAGATGAGGTTTTCTGCTCCTGTAAAGATATGTAGCCTCGGAAACCCTGTACAGAGTCACTATGAGTCGGAATCGACTCCATGGCACATTAACAACAGTAGAACACAGAAAGTGTTGGGTTCTTCTTCTATATATACATTTTAGCAGGAACTTTGTTCATTGCTCTTGAACAGATTACCTCTGGATTTGGGAGTTGTTTATTGGCAGTTGTTTCCCAAAGATTTCACAATGAAAAACGTATGCAGTGTGTAATAAAAATACTTTTCTGCTTTATTTTAGAAAATTGTGCCAAGATCATACTAGCTGAACTATCTCAGTTGTCTCTCAGCCATCAAACTACCAACATCTCAAGTTCTCTTTAAAGGATTATCATAGATTGTTCTCATTTTTTGCTGCTTTTCTGTATCCATAATGGCATTGGGTCTCCTTTTTGATTGTTTCACATTGATAACCCTTATCTTGTGCTGAAAGTTATTGGGAAATAATCAGTTCCATTCTGCTGAGCAGATAAACTTGTTTTTCTTAACCTTTAGATTTTATACAGTATATGCTGTTTTTGTTTGTTTGTTTTTAACTTAAAATGCACTGGTTCAGAAAAATGAAATAAATTATCAAGAACAAATAGATTTTAAATTGCCAGAATTCCTATTCAGGAATATGGAAATATTTTTAAATACTGCTTTGTTCTGAATTACAACGTCTGTGCCCTTGCAGGCAGGGTAAACCGAATCACTCTGTCCAACTTATGTAGACCTACAGTTTCTGACACTGTAAGTCTTTGTGGGAGCAGATAACCTCATCTTTGTACCATGGAGCAGCTGGTGGGTTTGAACTGCCGACTTTGTGGTTAGCAGCCATTGCCTAACTCACATCGGTAACAGGGTTCTTTTTTTGACAGTCAGGGTTCAGCAAAACAAATCATGATTAATTGAGAATGCCAGCACCATTATATTGAATGAAAAGACATGTGAAGTAAGCTAATTTTGATTAGTGGTTTTAGATCATTAAAAAATATATTTATTCAATATATTATAAATATACAAATTTTATTTTAATGTCTTATCAGTACTAACGTTTTCACCTATATCCACTCACTTTTTTTTCCCTTGACTAAAAGTCATTAAGATTGGTACTTGTTTTTTTTTTCTTTCATTGGTTTAATGTCTAAGGAAACATAACTAGCTAGGACAGCTGTTTATTTGACAACCACAATTTACTGGAGACATAGCCAAGAATCAAAAAGAAAGCAAAATAATAATCGTAAGTAATGGATTGATGAGCCTCTGCGTTGACAAGTACTTAAACCTGTGCTCTAAAAGCCTGTGCATGTTAGACTGAAGATTGTCTGTAAGTCCCCATTTTACATACATACACATACACAATTTTACCTCTTTCTCCCAAATGAAATAAAAATAACATTTGTACATGGTAATGTACAAAACAGTGCCATGAAGTAGGTTCCAACTCAGAACCGCCCTGTGTAGGCTTTCCAAGACTAAATCTTTGTGGGAGGAGAAAGCCTCATCTTTTTCCCATAAAGTGGTTGATTGGCTCAAACTGCTGACCTGTGGTTTGCAGTCCAGTATCATCGTCTAAAGCCATCACGCAACCAAAATCTAAATTAGTACAAAGAGAGAAATTCAGTGACAAATTAACTTTTGAAACACTTTTAACACGTTTCCCTGCCTACTTACTGCAAATTTAAAAATGGATATACACTTTGAGAATAGCAGTGTCACCTGAAAAAAAAAGAAACCAGAAAATAAAAGTATAGAAGTATTAGGTCTGCACTGTCATTTAACTCAACTCTCCTCACAGTGTGGTGTAATAATAGACATCATGTTCATTCAGTTTTACTTTTGATACCAAAGCAAAGGTGTGCCATCCAAAATGATTTTGAAAATATGTAAACTGTTAAAACTTAATGATAGAGTGGAATTTCAGATACATAGAAGCTTCATTTGTATATAGTATATCATTTTCCAAAAACTTCACATAAATGAATTCTTACTAAAGTTCGTTTTAATTTGACCTAATTAGTGCTATGCCTTATTTTATTGACAGTGCCTTTTTTTTTTTAAGGGTATTTGAATTAAATGAAAGTTTACAGGGCAGATCATCAGTTTTACATTCAACAAATCATGCACCTTGTTTCGTTACAATGATTATAATCCCCTCCATGTACCATCAGTTAACAGTATTTCTCTCTATTCACTTAGCTTTTTTAAAAAAACAAAACAAGAACACTCAGGCATATATAATAATTTACACCTCCAAAGGGCACATTCTGCAACTCTGCCTCCTGGCCACCAGCTCTTAGTCTCTCTGTTCCCATGCATCTAGAGTTCTCAGCCGCTTCCTCTCTCCATGTCTCCATCTCTGGCATCGCTGCTTCTCTGGATAAGGTCCTGCATTCTGCTTGTGCTCTTCTCCCTTGATGGTCCTAGGGTCCTCTGTTTCTGGACTGTAAGATTAACCACTCCCCTGTTTTTTTTACAAAGCTTCTACCTTTACAATTGTGACAGTCGCAATTAGTCATGATAACAGTTATTCACTATTGAGTCATACGAATCTTATCCACATCTCTTTTCACCAGACCCATCTAGACAAGATGAAAACTATTCAGTGGGGACTCTTTCTTTCCCCTCACACTCTTAAACTAAACTCCCTCTTGAAACCTTGTAAGCCAGTCACTTCATGCCTTTATCAGCCCCTCATTTTAGGTAGCTAATATCTAAGTTGCGGGTCCCTATCTACCCTGTGTACAGAGCATAGATACTTGATGTGAAGACTCCTTCCTTCTCTGTTAGTGTTTAGAGTTACTACCTCCATGAGTATAGGTCAGGTTCATCAAATTGTAGCAATTTACCCTTGTTTCCTTTATCAAAAAAAAAGATTATTTATTTATTTTTGTAATCTTCCTCTAGTCAAGTTCTGATGATCGAGCCATCGAGACTAGGTCACATGGGTACTGTATGCAAGTTTGGGTGTTCTTGTGCAGCTCCCCTTACTTCATATCAGCTGGCTGCTTCACTCTCAGCTCTTGCCCTCTGTGGCTATGTCCTTGTCCTTGGGCTCAAGTGTCCTCAGGTCTCACCACACTTTGGACCAATCAGCCCTTCCTTTTTTCTCTCTCCTCTCCAGGTCAACGGGTGTCAATGGACTGTGGTAGAACTCAGCCCATTTCTCCATGGATGCCTTTCCGCCTCTTCCACTCACCAGTAGACCAGTGTGGTCGCCAGCAAGCTTACATGCCTGTTTGTGTGTTCCCTTCTTAGAGGGG